AATAATCTTACATTGACGTGTGAATAATTTTTCACCAACCATTTGCTGCTCGTCAATTATTTTGCACAACTTTGGACTGGTTTATAAATTACGCATTAATACGCAGTTTGTCGGTCTTCTTTTGAAAATATTAAACTTCCAGCTTACTCCTCCAATAATCCCCAAGGCAAGATCAAAAAACCATAGATCAAAACCTCTTCCGCTATTGCCATTCATTAATTTTTCTGCATTCTAAGTTTGAATTATTTTACATTACGGTTTGGAACTTATTTGTCTCTTTTTGCGGCAACATTTGATCTGTTTCCTCCTAGTAACTCTTCCCACTCGAGCATCTGTAATCGTGCTGATATCGTAAAAGGTAAATTTTTTGTGCATATTCTTTGAAATATTTAGGATGGAACATTTTTTCGCTTATTATACAATTCTATACGGACTTTCCACTGCTTTTTTCTTCATATGAAACGCATAATCTCCAAGAATTTTTGCCAGCTCTACCATGAGGGTAAATTTCTAAAGTTTATGATTTCGCACCCTTTTGCCAGTTTTTTGAATCTGAGGACTTCAAAATATCGCGTTTTTGTGTAAAATATCTGCTTTTCCTTGAAAACAGCTGACCATTGCTAAACTAGGAATTATTTTTTGCGTTCAGAAAAACGTTATAGTGGAAACTTTAAATACATTTGAAATTGCAATTTTCGTAGGTTCGAAACGTATCTCAATCTTGTATCAAACTATTTATAATTTGCATTGTTGTGAAAGGAAATAGTTGATTGGAAATAGTCACAAATGCAGATTAAAGGGAAACTTTCAAAAACATCCTTAGTACAGTATAACTAGCAAAAATTTTCGTTCATTCTAAATGTTGAGTACATCCCTACACTTACTTTATGTTAAAATTCATATAAGCGAGTAACTCACCATTTATCATATTTAATGTAGGTTTATTTTGCTCATCTAGCCACTTTATGTTACTGAATATTTATCACTGAATAGTAATGGCCGACGTGGCGCGAATGGATAAATAATGCGAAAGTATTCAGAAGTCTATTAATTTTAAAAAGTAAATTACAGTTTTTGAGAATCACGCAACGTTTACAAAATAATCCAATGTACTTCGTTACCCCTACTTTTGTGCTAATGCAAAAATGTATTTGTTAAAACTATAACAAATGAACTTATGCGTTATTTACACTTTACAGTTTAAAAACTGTTAATCAGTTTTTTTCTTATAAGCTTCCGATTTATTTGTTTCATGTACGCCTTTAGAAACCTTGTTAACTTGTAGTAAGATCTTCAGCTAATTTAAAGGCTTTCAATGATCATCAGTCGTGTAAGTTTGTGTAATAATGTGGCTTTATGTTAAGCGTTTATTCCTTTTTATAGTGTTCATTTAAGAATGTTCTTATTCTGTACTTCATTTCTACTCTAAATAAAATTTTTGAAATATTATGAAATATCTTAAATAAATTTAATTATTAGTCTACTGTATGCAACATATTTAGTTACTACACCTAATTCATGAAATAATTTTTGTCGTTTAGAAACTGTTTAATTATATTTTCCTTTTAGTGAGGACACATTGATATTTCGGTCGAATTTTGTAGATACTTCCTTCTCCAGTGAATGTTAATATAAATAATAGTGTTTGTTATATTATTATTTCAATGTGAAACGTATCCGTTGATTTGATGCCCGAAAGCAGCACAAGTTACTGTTTTAGCGTGCCAGTGGTGTCCTATTAAAATGGTTCCCAGTTTCCTCCACGAAAAACGAGATATTATTCGATGTTATCGAAGCAGATATATTTCTGGAAAATATCAATTAATTCTCAACAGTCGTAGAATCATTGAACGCCTCAATGGTTCGTCAAAAACTGTCGAATGAACCTGAGAAAAACAACACGATTTACGTTTTAAGGCAATATTTCACAGTAATATCATATGAAAAGTGTGAGCGTCTTTTGGCAAAAAGTGATACTGCTAAAGAATTACTACTAATTTGTTTAGAGCGAATTAAAGGCTATTTATGTATCCACTTATCGGTAATGAATGATTAAAGATTTTCGAGTATTTCGGAACCGAAAAATAAGATGAATTTGTGTTCGTAATTAAACTGAATGTAAGAAGTAATGAATGCAAACAGCAAATTTAATTATTATTTAAATTAAATTATAAAACATTAAGGATTATTTAATTCTTCGATTTTTGATGCTTCGATTTTCAGGTTAGTTTTCAAATTACCAATATGTTTCGTTAGACAAAAGTTTCAAATAGACCAAATTGAAAACTTTCCACTTTTCTATCTTGTAAAATAGACGTAACCCAGTCCGGAAAACAATAACTGAACTGCTTAGATTAACATTTTAATAAACTGAAGGTAAATAAATATCGATAACGCATTTGGAAAAGTTATACACAAACATACGAATAAACACACGTGACTCTAAATAAACAGGTTGTATTATTGGAAATACAGGATACCAAAAATACTCCTGTTTTGAAATGCCGAATTCCCTATAGAGGATATAAAATAAACTCGGATGTAACATAAACAAGTTATGCATTTTTTCGCTTCAGTTGTTTCTATCGAGTAAATGTATTTCCTGTTTAGCATTTTATGTGATTGTAACGTGGTTAGTGTTGGGGCGATTAAGTGGAAAACGTTTTAATGCAGCTTCTCGTTTCCATCTGAGTATTCGTGTATATTGAACTGGAAAAACGAATGCAATGACCGACACAGTGCACATAGTGTTATAATATCTAGTCATTTGAATGAAATTGGTGCGATTTGGAAGTGGTACTAATCTTGGTAAGTATGTTCTATATATGCTTTTATATTTAACGTTATGTTTATATTGAGTGATTTTATAATGAGAAACGCCTTGACATTAACCAGATCACCCTTGAAAATAATTCACAGAAAATTGAGGAACTTATGACGTTTATTATGTATGCTGTGAGACCATTATAAGACGTGAAATAAACTGTAAATTTATTATTTATAAGACCTTTGTAAAACTTCGGTTGTTGGCTAACTATACAGGTTCATTCAAAATTGGCGTCATTCCTCTGGAGGTGTTGTCTGGCGCTGTTATAGGAATACAAAAAAAATAGTAAAATAAATTAATTGTTATTAAAAACTGAGAAATTTCCAAAAAACTATATCAGAAATTCGGCAACAATGTTTTTCAAGGTAATCTGCCTAATTAACATTGCGCAAATACCTGTTGCTTTAATTTTGTTTGCCTGAATTATACAGAGGGACAATAAGATAGACAAGGATAAACGGTAAATTCAACAAGATTCGTTGACTCGAACCTCGAATTCTGCGGGGTTTGGTGTTTACAAGTAATCCATATAACACCAAACATTTGAATGGTTAACTCCAAACAAGCTAGTGCCTGTGTAACCTCCTTATTATCCACTCTTATCAAGCAGCTTCTCGTATTCAGTTAATTAACTCCTGCTCCATTTGTATCTCCTTGTGCTGTGTGTATCGTACAAACGTGGTAGGAATGTAGCCCTACCTCGCTATTTATTTGGTGCTTGGGAAAGTGTCAGTTATTATGCTCTGAGTGCCCCTGGAAGGCCCTGTTTCGATTATGCGCAATATCAATCCCACCAATCCTCTGTGTCTGGAACCCGAACATCGATTGTCGTCCACTATCTTCCTGGAACCACTCTCCTCGCCCTGTGTTGGCGTGAGTTCTTTCAGCTTCTGCTATGTTACTGTAGCATTTCCCCTGAACTAATCGCATATCAGCAAATTCGTGAAAGGAAATTCAAAGTAAGTCACA